CCGTTAATGGCTCTGTAAAATATTCTACGATGAGCATCCACCAACTTGCCCGACTCGCCATTCTGCTTCAGTAAGATGTCATTGATTTGATGAGGCAAGCATTTAAATACCTCGTCTCCGGCAAACAGCCACACGCCATTTCTCCGAACAACGCCCACAACGCTTTTTTTGAGGAGGCATTGATCCCGTCCCGTGCAGAAGGTGTGTACAGCGTGCTGGCCATTCTCGGCCACCTGATCCCACCATTGTGATGTTTGCCGCATTTCCCACTCAACAGAACCCGTGTGCTCACAACGCCAGAAGACAACATGTCGGTTCGAAGAACCAGTAAGACGGCATTGCCTTGCATCTGCGTTGAACGTCTAAGAACCACCGAGCAGACGAGGTCGAAATTCGTAATGTCGACAGGAGATGGTCCGGAAATTTCAAGGTGCACGCGCCAACGACCCGCTATTTATTTCTGCATGCTTGAATTACTAAGCCCAAGCTCAAGGTAACATGCTGATATTCTAGAAGCGCGTAGTGTGGGACATCGTCAGCATTTATCTATATTTTCCCTTAACGCCGCTTGGCTGCTCTGTATATGATTACTCGACGACAACAGAATTGTTTACAAGCTTCGTCCCCTAGATTTCTGGGATTGAATGTTTCCTCCGAATTCCTGGAATCTCGATTCTTTGTTGATTCCTCTTTGAATTTGTGGCCTCCTTCCGAGAGGGAGATGCCACCTGCGATGCGTGTAAGCGTTCATCGAACGTGGAGTCGGCGGGCGTATTTGGAGGCGGTCGGAAGCGCGGCGTCTGCCCTGCAAGAAGGACGGGGGCGGTCTCCACCCATGCGTGATGCCGGCTCTGTGCGAGCGCATGACCAAAAGTGGTGGTGGTGGTAGTGGTTACAATGAAGAGGAAAAAGGCACCTAATTTCTGTCTGCCTTCAGGCGACACGGCGCAGTGCCTTATAGGGGTGGGGTTAAGGAGGGATAAAAAGGATAGAAGGAAAGTAGAAGCAGAAGAAGACAGCCAACGAGAGGAAAAAGAAGGAGATAGGAAAGTGGGGATCCGGTCGAAGCAGTCCAAGGGCGGGGTGCCACAATGCGAGAGCTACACGGCATCAGGAGACCGCGGAGGGCGAACCAGTCGGCGGGAGCTACGCTGAAGTCGGAGATCGCGAGGGCACAACCGTCCAGCTTGAAATCCTGCGAGCGAATCACCAAAAGTATCGGGCCGACCTTATGTCGCGTCACCCAAGCGCGGGCAGCCGCGAGGGCGGCGGCGTGCGGCGGAACTGTGGGCAGCGTGCGGCGAAAGCTGGCGGCGGCCGGCTCTGCGACGGCACATATGAAAGCACACAGGGTCGGTTCCAAGAAAGCATCTGCTTATTCTTGCCGGCGTTAAATTTCCTTGAGCAGCCCACTACAGCACTCGTTCGAGCATCGTGAATGACGCCTGAGGCAAGGCGCAGTGACGGGGATAAATCAACCAGCAAAGTCAAGCGAAATCTTTAGCAGTTTTTTGTGTAAGGACTAAACGATACTGTGGCAAGCAGTGGCATATATCTCCTCCAAGTTCCATCCCCATGACCCATTTCATCTTTTCACCACTGCAGGACGATCGAGTTCCTCAATGAACTGACGAATTTCGTATTCTTAACACTAACCACATCTACCCTGTACTTTCTGCTTACTCCTGGTACGCCAGGATTCAGGATACCGTATTTGATGTTCTTGAGTTAGGATTGTTTATGGAAAAGCATTTCAGGGAATTCCAACTATTGGCGTATCAATAGTGCCGGTGGCCATAGAAAAAAAAAATACCCCATCAAGGAATAGCCATGCATTGAGACGTCAGCACTAAGCGATAAATACACGCGTTCGTCTTTATACACTGTTCAATTGTTCGCACAATCAGACACTATAAAAGGGCCTGAGTAGGGGGCTAGTTGGTTGCGTACTATCGGTGTGTTCGTGCTTTTTTCTTCGTGTTCAAACAGCGTTTGTACAAACACTTTAATAGTTAAAGCCGGACTGCGACGACACGTAAGAGCTTGTCCACAGGCATTACACCACTGAGACAGCCTCAGTCGCAACCTCCCCCCCCCCCCCCCCCCACAACCGCTGAATTATTCATAGTGGCAGCAACAGGCCGGACTCTTGCATGAAGAAGATGACGTTTGGAACAAGATGTGCCCCTTTTAGAGAGAACCAACGAACGTCCTCACAGCGGCACTCCTAACTGGGAAAGATAGATGTTCAGAAAAAGGCGTACACTAAAAACGATGCCGGTGATAGCTAGAAGTACAATCACTCATGGATTACCTATGAAAGTTTAACAGACGGCACGAAAAAATTAAAAGAAGAGAAAGGCGCGAATACCTCGCAGCCTATAGGCCTATGGGGCAGTATATACCCTTCTATATTTTCTTCATATATAAAAAATAGGAAGCAGATTTACGGATATGCAATGTCGCACTGCAATCTAAAGTCCTATGCATTATCTACGTCGTATGTTTTTTTTTTTAACTTGAAGTGAGAGGAACACTTGAGTGGTTGGTTCACAGTAAGCCTGTTTTTAAGTTTAACAACACTGAACAAAATGCAAGAACAAAGAAGGGAGGGCTGCAGAGTGTACGTATGACACGTGTCTCACTTCGTTCCAGCGTTTTCGTTCTGCGGCACTCTTTAGCACTTCGTATGACAATCTATTTCACTCTGCCTGGTGTACCACAAAGTGCACCGGGTACTCAATACCCTTGCATAGACATACGTTTTCTCATCAATAAACAACTTGAATTCGATAATATCGGCACTAAGCGATAATTACCTGAAAGCGCTTCTGAAAGAACTGGAATGAAGTCGACAAGGACAAAGGTACAGGTTCAGTGTGACAAACGCGTTTCAATTGGCCCACAATGTGCATCCTTGTTAAGTGGCCTGTATTGGCCCTCGAAACGTGCACGATATTTTTTACTCTCGTTATCGTACTTCGAACTGGATGCCATACCTTTTCTTTTGTATTCAAAGTGTGTAATCAATCTGTAAAGCAGCCTTCGGAAAGAGATGAATTTTTTTAAACCATTTCTCTCTTGCTCGCTCTTAATCCTCATATTTGAGAACAGTAGATCTCAAGCCCTCGATATCACCAGAACACATAACTCTCGAACATATCGTTAAGTCTTAGTTATAAAATTATCGTACCAGTAGATATGGCTACGTTATTTATTTCTAAGGCACCGATATTGTTGTTATACTGTACAGATGCGGAATAGTGGAAGTCTGTTTGATGGGTTTGTATACCTGTGCTTCGCCAAATAACGCGTAATACTCCAAACGTAAATGTGTCAGCATGCTTAATGAAGACGTACCATGTTTCAGCCGAGTTTAAACCTCTTCTACAGAATCGTGTGGTATGGTTTGTCTGATTTATGTAGGCAGCTTTACGTTTCAAGGGAGGGGCATGCAACAGTCATAGGTTGACTTCCAACTTCTCAGAACTCTTGTAAAACACCAAAAATAACGCGATGATGCGCAGGTACACTCAAATAAGCACGACTCTTACATATCACTGCTCAAATGGGCTCACGAAAAGCAACGCTCATGTGAACGCAAGTTCCCGCCTGAGAAATTCCGCATCAGGCGCCGAAAAAAAAATTTAGGCTATACTGGGTGTCTCTCCAAGCATTTTTTCATTTTTTTATTCTTACTTGTAAGGGTTGCTGTGATTTCTTCGAAAAGCAAGGTCTTGCTGTTCAAAGATGGCACGAAATATAAGCGAAATCGTGACTCCCCTCATTACATAAACCTTCGAGACGTCGCATGCTGGTGACATGGCACGACCGCGCGAGGTGGGCGCGCCGCCTTCTCTCCTGCCGACATTCCGCACCTCCATGTACGGCACAGGCATGTGTAGGGAGGCTACGCGGTGTCCCCTCGAAGCATACTTACGAAGTGCTTGCGTGGGACTCAGCTCGTTTGTGCAAGGACGCTCCGTAACGTAGAGTTGTTCGAAATTTTGATTTAGATGGTCGGCGGTACTAATAATGGATAACCCGTAATTACCTAATACGAGTGTGTCTCTGTGAGTACACGCGAACGTGAAATCCGGGTAGTTTTTTTTTTCTTAATATTAATCTGTAGAAGACACGTGGTAAACACGTGTAAACGAAATCGACGGAGTAATTCCCGTATGACAAACTCATATTCTTTAAAAGATTTGCAGAAATTGTATAGTCTTTTAGAAGTGTAAAGTCGAGGTTAACAATAATATATATATATATATATATATATATATATATATATATATATATATATATATATATATATATATATATATATATATATATATATATATATATATATATATATATATCTGTGTGACGAACTGAATATGTCGTTGTAGTGTTCAAGTCTCATCAAAAATAAGAACAGATACAGCACGCACTCCTATATTTAAATAATTTAACCAGTTTGACACTTGTTCCACTTTGGGCATACGAAAAGAATATTCAGCTATAAGTGATAATAAAATGAAATAAATACTTCGAGCAAATGCGAAGCCGCTTTGAGGGGCATGCTGTTTACCCAACCTGGGAACTGACTAGCTCTGCAATTGCAAAACACACACACTTGGTTGAAATAAAATACCTGAACGACACGTCGCTAACGTTTTGTCTATACATTCACGTAGGGTGAAAATAGCAGTAGTTTGAGGAACATGTAGGCAAAATTAAGTGATGATTGCGTTATGAAAAGGGTTATTAGGAAATCGTGGGATTATCAGCGTCCATGAAGTCTGATCTGTGAGCATTCGCAATGTCCTGATAGAACAAACAGAAATTTCGAATGCGCCATTGCTCACTTGACAGACATCGACGGCAAGCGAACAAAAAGGTGCGGCCAAGTTCAGGTACAACTGGGAAGAAGTGCTCTTTCGGTGTCCTCCAACACAAAACACAGAGAAACAGAAAAAGCAACATAGAGAAAAACACAAAGATAAACTACCCACCTGTGACAGCTATTTCTTCATCAAGCTCCACCACAACTTTTCCCGATAGGAAGGAACCGGGAAAATATAGCAGGGTTTCGTTGTCCAAGAGGACCAGGAACTTCTGTAGTTTACGAGACATGGTCGACGTATACAGGCAACGACACTTCTGGCTCCTAGTCGGCCGAACTCACTCGTAGGTCGCGTCGCTCAAAAGCCCACCCACGGATATCAGATCACTGTCCTGAGTATCATCAACGAGTCTTGGTACACAGGCACGCACTTGCAGACAGCTAGCACAACACAATTAAGAGACGCGTGCGAGGCGTCAGAGTAGAGTGATGCGATCGAAGGTGCCCTAAGAGAGTTTTCTATTGGATGAGGGCGTAGTCTCAGCGTCGTAATGGCGTGGATCTGACTGAAGTTTCGTGACCTTGGAATATCGCAATATGAGAGGTCGCACTACTTTTACCAACTAACACCTGCCAGGACACTAGGGAAGGTCACGCAGCCGGTAGGCGCCTCCGACGTCTTCCACGGCACAGACTTTCTGCCGAGACAGAAAAACAAGTGCAAGGGGAGGCAACGCGAGCTCACCAATGACGTGACTCTTCGTTCCGCGCGCGCCTTGCGTCGACCGGACGTTTCACAGGAGCAAAGACTTTCCTTTCTAGAGTTCAACACGCGCGCTCCAGACCTTCACGTACACCGCACCGTGACATATTTGCGTATGAAGACAACTGAGCCCAGTGGCAGTTTTCACTCTTGCGAAGGTTACCGCGCACAGGCGGTACGTGGACGTCGAACCAGGCACTCACGAAGCGCGTGTGTCGCGCGGCGGGACCAGGAACCGTGAAGCGCGCTGCATTTCTCTCTCCGCCGTGCACGCGTGTGTGTGGGTGGGCACGCTGGCGCGCTCTCGTACGAACACCAGCCCGGAATGAGGACAACTCCCGGGCCACGAGAAGAGCCTCGGCATCTCTTTGGCGGCGGAGGAGGTAAGCAGGCAGGTAGCTGGCGGCAACGACGTCGCTGAAAGAGGGAAGGAGTCGCACGTGACGCGCGCTCGCAAGCGCTTTTCCAACGCAACGACGTCGATGCAGTTGCCGAACAGGTTTTGCCTCGGGGCTGGCGTTGTGGCGAGGGTCGGCGGGAACGCCGTGGCCGTCGTCCCAGCGGAACTAGCCGAGAAGGACTGCCGTTCCCTCGTCCTCTTGAGCGTGCACGAGCAGTTTGTTTGCGTCTAGGCAACGGTGCGGCTAACTGTTCTCCTTCGAGAGGCGAGCGGTCATTCCCAATGGGTGTACTTGTTGCCCACAGCTGTTCGCGGAGCAAAAGCGGTGGCACCCCCTCCCTCATCCTGCGTGCGGACTCCCAGTGGATTGAAGTGGGCTTGTGACCTCGAAGCGTCGCTCATGGGGCGAGCGGTGTCGGCTGGGCATAGGTCACCCAGCAGCAGCAGCGGAAGCGAGTTACTCGTGCTCCAAACCAGTCGGCCTCTAGTTTCGGATAACCGTTCATTAGGTGTTTTGGACCACGCGTGCGTGGGCTCCTGTAGGGCATATAGAGCGTTCAGCGAGCCTGACACGTAACCAATCCTGGTTGTATAGGAATGAAGATTGCAGCGATCTATGCGTTAAATGATGGATGCAGACTGAGCCTGTACCATGACGCCGCATCCAAAATAAGCTCTTATTGGTGTTATATTTTCTTGCGCACACCACGTGAAATAAGAACGATTCCTGTAATATGTCAATTATCAGGTTCCTGAAGCATTGCCCGCATCACGACTGCATACACAAATTAACCTTCACCTTTTGTTTAATTCCTAGAACAGAATAAATGTTGCAGCTGTGCATTACTGTTGCGAAGCCTGAGGAAACAGTGGAATTAGTAGGCTTTTTCCCTTCATTTCTCTCATTTCTATATCCCACCACGGGCCCTTATACCTCAGAAGAATGTAGCGTTAGGCTGTTTGGTAGTGCATGCTAGATAACATTTTGACTCCCCCCCCCCCAAAAAAAAATAAACACGAACAAGAAGGAAGAGAGCACGCACCTATCCATGCTCTCTTCCTTCTTGTTCGTGTTTTCTTGTATGAACTGCCATCCGCATTGCTATTATGCAAAGCATACTGTGCTAGGCCCACTTCTCATCCTTTCTAAGCGCATAAAACTGGGCTAGGTTGTGCTGTGAAAGCCATGAAACATTCAGCTTACGAACAAAGACATAGACAGGATAGGGAGACAGCGCCAGCGTTCAGCATTATGTGTCTTTGTTCACCAGTGGAACACTTCAAAAGTTGCCTATTACAAGGGGCGGCGCCATTGGAGGGCGCGGATGTCCCGGAGCCCCAAAAATTCTTGCCTACCTTTCCTTTGCCCCCTCCCCTCCAGGAACAAACATAGTCAAAACACAACGCATAAGTTCTGTGCCTTCCTGCACAGAACTTACGCACCGAACAAAATTGCCGTCAGTGCCCCCCTCCCACCCCCCCCCAGAAAAAAAAATCCTAGTGCCACTCCCCCCCCCCCCCTTAAGCTTCACATTTTCGTTGTATGATCTTACTCGAGAAGTTTAAGTAGTGAATTACTCCAGTGTGTTTAGAAATAAGATGGAAACAGAGAAAATGTGGATGTCGAATGCATACAGAAATATTAGGGGACCCTAAAGCTTGGCCTTTAGGCAATGAACGTGATAGCGACATCTTGTTGCTAGTGCGTATACTTCAAACACTTAGCGCAAGAAACATTTTCGAATTTGCTATGCACCCGCTACGTGGCCTTAAGGGAATAGACACAGTAGCGTGTGTGCCTTTTGTAGTGGGACACCTGCTTTCAACCACGGAGCTAATTTGATAATCGCATATTCTGACGCCTGTTGGCAATGGACGCTTGCATACCACGCATTATTACTGCAAAGTTTGCTGTTGCATTGTGAAGCATGTATACGGGACGCATGTGTTTGTGAAGCATGAAATCCACTTTCACTGACTTTTCAAGCAGAGGGAGTTCTTTTCACTGTTTTCACAAGCAGAAGCGCGGACATGTGGTACAATTCCAACTTGCCACGCAGACTACCCGGGTTCGATCCCCATTTGGACCCAAACAACCCTGGTTCCGTTCCGACTCTACTCCGGAATTTTTTATTATTTATTTGTTTTATTTGCATCGCTCTCGATTTTTTGGTCACGCATAAGATCATAATTTTTCGCTCGCAACCAACGATGGTGAGGTCAACACCGACACCGGAATTTCTGCGAAACGAGCTCTTTAACGCTATCGCAATAAAATGCTCAAGGATCTAGAGTACTATACAGGGTGCCCCAGCTAACTTTAGTCAGAGTTTCAAAATATGCCGACACACGCAGTTACGACGCAAACTAAATGCATGTGGCCTCGAGTTAGTCTGACTTTTTTACAGTGAAAGCTGTTATGAGGTCACAACTCGCGTAACGCGCAGTTCGTCCGTTGCCGCCGCCGCCAGTGTCCGTAACCACATCGCGCAAAATTAGAAAAAAAAGCGTAGCACCAATGACAAAGTGGGGCTCGAACCCGAGACCGCTGGGTGCCAGCTCAATATTTTACCACTGACCTACGCCGATTTTTTCTCTGTGTAGCCTGTGTACATACAACGTTCAAAAACAAATGTATATCGAACAAAGGACAAACATTAACAAAAGAAAAGAAGTGAAAAGTGTCCAACTTAGCGGGCTTTTTAAAATTCCTTCATCTGTAGAAGGCTTTCTGCTTGATGAAGCCATTCAGGCACCTCTTGTTGAACCTTTTGTGATTCCACGAATGAACAGACAGATTGAAAGAAGTATTGTCGAACCAGACGTGCATTAACATCAGCATGTCACACCACCATTCTAGATTGTCATATACTGCAGAGGCCCAGTAACATAACTAGGTCGAAAGATATTCGTTCTTCACTTGATGCTGGTAGAAATCTGATGGCGTAGGCATTAAGAGGCAGATCCTTTTTCGAAGTCCGTTGGAGAACATCCCAGAAAAAGACTGCAGCCCAGCAGTCCAGGAAAACATGTTCGGTTTGTTTCCAGCTTTTTGCAGAGAAGGCAATCAACACCTCAAGGAACGAATAAGCATTTTTCTTGCATCCATGTTTTCACCGGCAAGGTCCCAGTGTGCAATTTAAAGAAAGAGGATTTCGGTCCAAGTGATACTTCTATTTTTTTTTACAGAGCTCAAAACATTCTGGCCTGGACCTACACACTCAACCGCACCGGTGCTTGGGATTTGTTGGCAAACTTGCCTTAGGCAGGCTTGATGTCGGGAAAGCAATCCTGTTAATACGAATTTTAAAGTGTTTTAAAACAGCGAAAAAACAACCAGTCGTCGCACAATGCGAATAGCGTAACGAGCGGGTCATCCAATAGTGCTTGGCTTCCGGGCCATATTGGGAACGCAAGACGCCATGCTCCTGATCCAACGAGAAGTCCTTGACCCACCGGGCGGGACTCCAAAGAATGACAACCGAGCGATCTTGGGCCTGGACCTGCAAAGCGCCTTCGACAACGTTAGACACTCGTCGGTCCTGGCTCAGGTGTCCCGCCTGGGGCTGGGCGCAAGATCGTACAACTACATCAGAGCCTTCCTTTCTCGCCGCACGGCCAGGCTGGAGGTGGGAGGAACGAAGCTCGAAGAACGAGAGATGGGCAGTGTCGGGACCCCACAAGGCTCGGTCATCTCCCCGTTCCTGTTTAACATTGTCATGATCGAGGTGGCCAGGCGTCTGGAGGCGCTGGGCCCGGGGATACGACACTGCCTCTACGCCGACGACGTAACCATCTGGGCCACGGGTGGAAGCGACGGAGACATCGAGGCGGGTCTGCAGGCGGCGGTGGACGCCGTGGAGTCCGCACTCTTGGGCACGGGCTTGCGGTGTTCGCCACAAAAATCACAGCTACTCATCCTGCCACCACCTGGGAGGCACAGAAAGAAGGCAAGTCGAGAGGCGGCCGAGAACATCATCGTGCGCACCAGTGACGGTATGCAGATCCCGCACGTCCCGGGGCTTCGAGTACTGGGGATGTTCGTGGACGGCACCCAAACCAACGCCACGGCGGTCAAGAACATCACAACCAAGATGGGCATCGCAGCGCGCCTGGTCAAGCGAATGTCGTCCCGCTACCGGGGCATGAAAGAGAGGGGGCTCCTGCATCTGCTGCAGGCTTTCGTTATAAGCCACGCGGCATATGCGGGGGCTTTTCACCGCTGGACCGGCGCGGAACGAGCCAAGATCGACGCTGCCATCCGGAAGGCTTACGCGGGGGCTCTTGGGCTCCTACCAGGCACAAAGACAACGGCCTTGCTGTCTCTGGGAACACACAACACGCTCTCGGAGATCAGCGAGGCCCAGAGAGCTTCGCAGCTGAGCCGCCTGAGCGACACAGCCGCGGGCAGAGGATTACTCGATCGGGTAGGATTATTACC